CAAATTCACCCTCATCAAATAGAAGGTAACTAACCTTGCAAGTGTATGAACTTGGCTATGTCTTTGATTTTAAAGAATGATAGTGCTATCAGGTCACTTATGAAATTCTATCAGGTCTTAAAAATTTTAAAACTCCTAGTTAATAATGGAAACTATTATACGAGGTCGAGTACAGTTTCCTCGTTATCCTTAGAGGCAGAACCCATAACATAAGTTGTAAGGAAAGATGAGATAAGAAAGTGAATGAGATATCTAAAGAATTACAGTAATCATTTAAAAGACGTTAGAATAAACAAGTTATTTATGTTACTAAATGTTTAGGGTATAAGTATAAGTACAGCATAAGTTCAGGGTTCAATCAATTTAAAGTAAAATTATATAGTAACTCTGAATACATGTAAAACAAGGAATAATTAAAAATTATATATTACTTACGGATAAACATTACAAAAAAGTGAAAATATAATAGCAGTAATTTTTATATTACATTTTGCCAAACTGGTTACTTTGTAAAAGTAATTTTCGATATAAAAATTATAGTGGAGTAAATTTTCAAAAGCTCCAATCCATATATGAGATACAATTTATTAATTTTCCCTATAATTAATTTAGTTAATTAAGAGTAACATAATATAGGGAAGCATTTTGTAATAACTCCTTAAAAAGCAAATAATTGGGATCTATTAAAAATTTTAAATAAAACTACAAATAAATAGTTGTTTCCTTTCCATTAAAAATATTTCACGGCAATACCCTCAATAATTTTAAAAGACGGCGAATACTAGCACAAGGAAAGCTTGGATATAACATCAGCTATTAAGTCTTCTGAACGAAAGGGAGTATCCAAGTAATCTCAGTGAATGTGCTATAAAAAAAAGATTAGTATTAATTTCAAGTTTCACAAAATCAAGTATTGCAAATAGTTTTACTACGAAGATGAAAGCTTCAAATTACCGAAAACAAAGAGAATAATTAAAAACTTCCTAATTTTCATTTGCATGTGCATATATAATTTACTGAGGAAATTTTTTTTTTTTAATTAAATAATTAATATAAGAAACTTCAAAAATTTCTTATGCATGGTAACATGAGGTGATGTCTTATTCACTGTTGTTCAACCAGAAGTGACTTTTTAAATAAAGTCAAGCACGCTACAAATTATTTATAGATAGTATTAAAAATTGAAATTTCTCTTTTTCGGATGAAAGAAAGATTGTCTGCTATTACAAAGCACCTGCAATATTTTTCCAATCAAGTAAATATTCATAACAGTTGTGGTCATCGCAATGATGTTATATCAAACGGAAAAAGCTCATACAATGTAAAAGTGTTTTTTATTATTATTTTATAATATATAATTTATATTTAAATATGCACAAATATATTAAAATATATTTATTTTAAAATTATTATTATATATATATATAATTATGTATATATACAGTCAAACTTTAATAACTCTGTCCATTTTTGCAAAGGAAAGGTTCGACTTCTGGAGACTTCGAGTTAGAGAATTTTTTAATTTTTTTTATTTTTGAAAGAAAGTCGAATTACATTTTAAGTTATTTATTTTTTTGCAATCAAATAAAGCACTGAAGTTATATTGAAGTAAAATATTCAAAAATCAGGGTTTGGGACTTTAATTTTTTTCTTATTACGAAGCAAGATTTAAAGTCCTGGGAATAGTACTCGTTGTACGCACTATTAGTTTATTACCCAGCGGGTGCTAGATAATTGTCTAGGGGTGTCACGTGGAGGCTGTGCGACAGATTAGATTGTGGACGACAAGGATTACGCTGGCATTTTTCATGTTAAATGCAATTAGGCACGTTGCCTTGTGTACTCGATTCCATGGGCTCACGGCTCTTCCATTATTCTTCGGAATAGTGTAAAAACCTAAATATGGAATTAAAGATTACTAGAGTTGAAATAAGTGTCTCATATGTGGTTTCATAATTATTTCTGCAAATTAAATTTTGGAGTCATTACATCCTCTTGGCGCTTCAACATTGATAAAAAGGTTTAACATGAATCCTTATCCAAACTTAAAAAAGTTGTTATTGAAAAGAAAATATTTCCGAAGTAGGCATCCTTCGTTAATGGATATTTGGAAGATTATTACGACATGCACTATTTAGAGAAGATAAAAAAGTAGAAGCATCGATGAGAAAAATGTATCAAGAAAACAGAAGCTCGATTTAAAAAAATTAATAAACGTTTTTGCCTATATTAGGCGTAAAATCTTTGAAAAATTTTTATACATAGATATTCCCACACATATAAGTATACATAATATTTGTGAAGAGAAGGGGTGACATGGTTACCATACAATACGTGTTTAAATCCAATCACACTCTTTCATTATTTTATGGTATTTTGTGGTCAATGGCTTTTAATAAAACTTGTTGGAAAACTTCGATGACATAAAATTGTTTATGACGACGCGCTGCTTAATTAACAGAAATGACAAATATTTTTAAAATTTATATTTATTTTTGTCTGTTTTTACGTTTTTTTTCTACAATTGAAAACTTTTAAAATAACACAAAAATTGTAAAAAGCTAATAGCATTAATTTAAAAAAATGTTGAACACCCAAAAAAAAAACTGTAAATATATATGATGAAGGTGTCTAATGTTTAATTCATATTAGCAACTTTATACATTTTTTATCCAAAATTTGACACGAGAGGTTTTAAGATGTGAACACGCCATAAGACTATCTATCGTGCAGACAGTTATCACAGAGATAAATTCAAGTAATTGAGTAAACTTGAAGTGAGTAAATTTAAGTTTGAAATGTAATGTTTGCAAAAATGACTTTCTATCTGAGAAATGGACTCATTAATGTTTTAATATATCTTTAGAGTTATATTCAAGATCATTAAATGTTAAAAATGTACAAAATCACAAGTGAACGGTAAAAATGCAATAACATTTAAATAAATATTAAATTTTTATCAAAACTTAATTAAATGAATTCTTCGGCTTATCAAGCAGCTGTTTAAGATAATGCCAAATATTTTTTAATACTTAAATCGAACAGACGGTCCTTAAACTCATGCCATATTCTATTCTTAAAAATAGAAATGCAGTTATCGGTTTTTTCTTGTTTCATTACTCATAAATAACTTTGAATATTGAGTGTACGAAAAGTTCACCCTTTATTTGAACCGTATAGAATACAACATAATAGAAAATTATAATAATATGGGAACATATATTGTACTTCAACTGATTCTAATCGAAGAAAAGTTATTCAGCCATAGCAATGACTTTGAATGACTTTTATTAGCAAAATGTGTCTCTATATTATGAATATCCTTTCTCGAGGTGTTATTAGTTTCAAGCATGTGTATTCCAAATAGGAGCTCATCATTTTCCTCTTGCTGACCCACAGTATGGTCAGAAATGTATGTTACTGGATGATTTAACGGGTTTCATAATGTTGAGGTTGATAACGGGTTTCATTACAGGTCATTATGGTCTGAAATGTCACCTTTATACACTACAATTATCTGCTAACTCGGAATGCAGATTATGCCTCGAAGATGAGGAAACGACCATGCACATTCTTTGTGATTGTCCAGCTTTAATAACGCACAGAAGAAACCTGTTTCATAAAGAATTTCTGTCACCAGAGCAGATTAAGAACTCTTCTCTAGATTTAATTCTAGACTTTATTCACAAAGCTTTAAGGGGCTTTGTACCGGCTGTTGGGCAAGTTTCACGTCTACTCTTTAATAAAAAAAAATAAAAATACTGGATGATTCGTTATTTTTCAAACAGATAATCTATAATCTGTGGTTCTTTAGTACCCCTAGGGTTAAATCCAATAAAGCAACAAAATGTGATAGATCCGCTCTTAAAATGATTAAAGGGTGACAAAAACTGCTAATACTAATTCTAAATTCTTGGACTTACTATACAGCTATTTTGGATAATGCCAAATATTTATAATCATTGGTTCTTTGGTACCCCTAGGGTTAAATCCAATAAAGCAACACAATGTGTTAGATTCGTTCTTAAAATGATAAAAGGATGACAAAAACTGCTAATACTAATTCTAAATTCTTGGACTTACTATACAGTTATTTTGGATAATGCTAAATATTTATAATCATCGGTTCTTTGGTACCCCTAGCGTTAAACCCAATAAAGCAAAAAAATCTGTTAGATCCGTTCTGAAAATGGGAAAAGGGTTACACAAACCCCATATTCTAATTGTTACAGTCAAATCATCACCAATTTTTTGGAGGTAACGAGTATGTGATCTGAATAAAATGATGCTACAAGCGAAGAAGAAGAACAAGATAGAAAAGAAGAAAGAGAGAAAAAAAAAGAAAAGAAGAACAAGAGAAAACGAACAAGAAAGAAAAGAAGAAAAAAAAAGAGAGGAAGAGGAGAAGAACAAGAAAGAGAAGAAGAAGAAAAAGAGAAGTAGAAAAACTAAAAGAGTATAAAGAAGAAATAGATGATAAAGAAGAAGGCCCTATAATATCTATAGATATATGACATGAGTGCCGTAAGAAACAAATTTCGTGTTCTCTAAAGTGAAATCAATTTATTCAATTAATATATATATATAATCACTGACAATTTTTAATATTTCTCAAAATTTTGTAATTTAAGCAAAATAACAATTCTCATTTGGTATTATTGATAAAAATATGTGATTATTGCCAATACATCAAATTTATGTTATTTACTATATTTAATAAATTTTGTTTTTTAACATTTAAGCAGTTAATGAATCGAGCCAAGTAATGGTATAAGGATGTAAATTAAAAAGTTTTGATAATTAAAGTTAATACTTAAAAAGTTATATAAAACGAATGAATTATTCAGGAATTTATATTTATGTGTCGTTGATTCATTATTACAACTTTATAATGGTACCACATAACAATTTAGGCTTTAAGTGTATAATGCTTAGCATTTTAATATATTATATTTCTTATTCTAATTAGCAAAATGAAATTGAAGTTGATCATCAACAACTTATGGTGTAAACTTACTTTCAGATTGTTCAGTATTGGTGAAGTAGGCGCCAATAAGTGCACAGGCCTTTCTGTACACATCTTTATTTTTATGATACTGCAAACCTTGTAATTTTCTTAAACCTCCAATTTTTTCAAAAATAACACACAGATTGTGTAAGTTGCCGGTTCTTTTAGCTAATCCAAAACAATTACTAATCCCAGTAAGTACGATCTTAACAACGAAATCATTGTTTGCATTGAGTAAACCAGAAAATGGTTTAAGCAAATCATACTTCTCCCACAAATCTCTAACTTGATCTATTGATTCATTTGTTGTTATATTCGTAACAGTCCATATAGCTTCTTTTTTGGATCTAAAATCACCTTTCTTTAAAACATAACTGATGTTGGTGAGCAAATTGGAATCTAAAACTGCTTGAATATGTTTCTGATTGCCGGCAGTTATATGCCCAATAGCATAGGCTGCTTCCAACACGATGTTGTTATTATTATGTCTTAACAAAACAGCCAACTTTTGTAATCCTTTCGCTTCAATTACTTTATCGATTTGGTAGTCAGTGCCACTACAAACTATGTTGCTAACAGTGCGTAGTGCAGGTGCAATAATATGAGGTACCTCAGAGCCCAACATTATGATTAGGCGTGGCACGACACCAGCTTCAACAACAACTTGAATCCTATTATTGTCAACATTTGTAACGTATGATAAGGCCCAACAAGCATTAGCCGCAACTGATATATCATTGACGCACAGAAAATCTGATAACACTGGTATTAAAAGTTGAATTTGATCAAATGCCGGCGGTGAGTTCTTATTATCACACAAATTGATCATTAGCCAAACAATAATACGTAACACGGAAAACGGGATAATATTGTGGATTATTTTTGTAATGCACGGTACGACGTTACAATTGATAATCTTATCTCGAGCCGCAGAGCTATATTCAGCAATTTTTGCTAGAACCCAGGCAGCCTGTTCCACAAGACTTATTGACTTGGATTGTAATAAAATAATCAAGTGAGGAATCGCATCATAAGTGATACTTTGTATTCGTTCAGATTTACGAGAAGCGATATTAGTCAGTACCCAAGCTGCTTCAAATTGCATTATAGGATTAAAAGTATCTTGCAATAATTTAATAGCAATTGGAACAACACTATGATATATTCTCTCATCAATCTTTTTATAAGGTCGATCACAAATCATTTTACGAGCCGCTATCATACCAGTAAATTGTTGATACTTATTTTCGCTTAGCATTGTGTCTACAATTTGTTCAACAGTAGGTAAAGCCGATGATTGTCCATTATTTTGAGTAGAGAGCGGCCAAACAACTTTGTCTATATTATTAGTATTACGACGTTTAAACCAATGATATTCCTTCGAGTATTGACGCACTTCTCTTCTATTCTCATTGCGGCGATGATCCGATTTTTTAGTGTCTCGGATGTTCCACTTGTACAAATTGTGGTTATTCGTTTCCAATTTTCTATACATTTCAAACGAAATCAAGTCAATTAAAAGGAAACTTGTAGGACGCTTTATCGCAAAAACAAAGCTTGCCACACTTTGAAAACTGGCAGTGATGCCAAATCCTGATCAAAGATCACGTATGTACATAGAGAATGTATAAATGACCAAATATCAATTTAGAAAATTTATTATTAAAAATTTATTTGATATGAAGTTATAAAATATTGGCTTGATTGGAATTGCAAAATTGCTCCAATATTGTCGCAATAGTATTGCAGCATGTTCATAAATGTAATTTCTGGCCACACTGTTACAGTCATCTCTTAGTATTTACAAAGCTTTTGCACAGTTATTAAGCAAATCATGCATTAATAATTTTTGTGTTGTAATGCTTAAGTTTCAATTAGTCGGTACGTACCGTAAGAACATAAGTCAAAGCGAAATGCACAATCAACCATACCTGTGTATTTGATAGGAAGAAATTAACTAAAGCGGCGAACTTTGTTTATTTTGATCATATCAAATACACGGTTATAGTTGATTGTACATTTTGCTTTGATTTAACGACTAATGTAACGACTAACTGAGCCTTAAATATTATTATTCCATTTTGAATTCACAAAATTATGTGTAAAAAAGAAAAGGTCAAGCTAGAACCAACTTGAGGCTTTTATAAAGGTGAGAGTTTGGTCAATGTTAATGCTGGAGATATCAGTGAATGTATTAAAGAAGACGGTTTCTAGAAACTTAAGCCTACTTCTGGTCAAGCTTGACCATAGACACAGCATGTGTTCTGGTGTCTTTCGTCGAGAGTTGGTAGAAACGCGATGGAGGTGATACGACAGAATAGGCCATACTACAGAATCTAGATACTTTATGGTTTGCTTCTGTGTATCAAGTCAGAGGTTCTACATTTGGAATAGATTGGCTATGTAACCTTTGATCTGAGAGCTGAGGCGACATTGGTTCACTCATTATTTGCCTGTCGCAAAAAAAGGTTATATGTCAATCTCCGACCGTAGCTGGCACGGGCAGGGTTTGAAATAGGGGCAAACAAACAGCTATAGTTCCTGAAAAAATCAAAAGACTAAGTACAGTAATATCAACATTCTTTATAAAAACTGTATGTTTTCATTATAATTTGCTTTTTTACTATTATAAAATATTAAAAGTTAATAGAGAGGTTTTTTTAATAGTAGGAAATCACAAAAACAAAATTTTATTATTTATTAATTAATTGAATTTTTGGCTTGTAATGCTCAACTGTTTAAAATAATTCTCTATTAAAACAATAGTTTTTATTAAGTGACATGATTTCTTTCGTCATAATTGACTTTAAGAAACAAAATTTAGTGTTATTATTTATAAAAATAATATTCTTTATGTATATAGAACGAATTTTCTTTAAAAATATTTGTCAAGCCCTAAAAACCATAGCATTTCAAAAATTTATGATGTAAGATTTTCATGAAAGCAATCCAATCCCTCATAGCAGCTCAGAATTGGAGTTGGTTGAACGAAACCGAACTCGTTTGATATCTTGGATTTATTTTTTGAAAT